GTGCTTAGGGCTGCTCCAGCCTCTCCCTGGTGGCTGTACTTGCGCCAGGTGGGGTGGCCGATGGTGGCACAGGTGGGGGCTACAGTAAATTTTGGGGTGGCACTAGATTCCCCCCCCCGTAGCTCCCTTCCCAGTGCCACCGCTGCCTGCCCTGCTGAAGCGCAGCCATGGGGAAGAGGCTGGAGCAGCTGCAAGCGTGCAGCCTTCCCTTATCCCATGAACATATCCAGGGGAGCACACACCCCCCATGTCTCCCTTGGGGTGTGTGCAGTGGCAGGAGCCCCACCCCCTGCTCCCGGATGAGCTGTAGGCTCTGTCCTGTGCCCTGCCCAGGCAACACCTGCCCCTGCCCCAGCCCCACTCCCTCCCTCACTACGGGGGCCTTATCTGCCCCCCCCCACGCACCCCTTCCCCCGTCAACAGACTTACTGGCTAGACACTGCTCTCCAAGCTGCTGGCTGCACTCCTAGCCATGTGCATGCTGAGGCTGTACACAGGCACGCGGCATTTATCAGTGACATTAATTGGCCACATCAGCCAAAAAAGTGCCAATTGCCAATAATGTACATTTTCCTTTTATTGGTGCTGAGACGATATGGACTGATGTATCGGTGCACGTCTAAAGAAAGTTAAACTAAAAAGCTACAGTATAAGCAAGCAAAGTCAACATGCTCAAAGTCATATAGCCCTTTTACAGTCTTAGTTCATAACGTAAAAAAAGAAAACAAAAAGGACACTACCAGAGAAGCACCTGGCATCAGTAGCAGTAACTGATGTACGAAAGAGACTGTAGTTAAATTATCTATAGTAGTAGCTATGATAAAGCTAGTAATTACTAAGACTGCCAATATAGTTTTTCTGGTCTCCTCATAATGGAGACTACCAAAAGTGCAGCAAGGTTGAACGAAATGCAGAAACAATACCAACAGAAGCTACACTTGTTTAACTTCACATAAGTCCAATAATGGAAGAATTAAGTTCAGTTTGGTAGTATGTCCCCAGAGCACCCAAAATACAGCACCTTATGATATGCTCCCTCCAGGGTTTCCGCAGCGGTAAAAAATGAGAATCTAGATTGTTTTATTGTGGGTAGCTAGATATGCAATGGAATAAAGTGTGCATTCTTCTACTTTTGGGATGTGACAATAAAAAGTCAGACTGTAGATCTGTCTCTTATCTGTTTTCTTACATGGGTGGTGATAATTAAAGGAATTATAACTGTATCTAAACTTTGTGTCTGAAGAGTAATTATTAATAAAAGGGAATTGTAGCTGTGCCTTAATTCTGGTGTCTAAACTTCCAAAAGTGGGCTGTCACCTTTTCTCTCAAAGACAAACAGTCCCACGGTTTTGGTAACAAAATATATACACCAGACTCATAAGACAGGGAAAACTAACGATGGAATCTACATCACATTTTGGACTTGAATGTGATGAAATTAAAATTTCAAAAACACACAATCAAACTACTATAATTATATTCAAGAGATTTATTTCTATGCATTTTATGCAAGGATTATTTTAAGCAGTTTTCAAGGACTTTTAATTAACGCTTATTGCACTTAGAAGCTTTGACACATTTTACAAGTTTGTTAATCTAAACACAATTGAAGAGAGTCTTCATTTTAGAGGTTTAGTAAAATGATTTCAGTAATCTTTAATTTGCTACAAAGCATGCATTTTTGAGCTTTTAAATTAGAAAACTCAATAACAAATGATATTGTGCTTTCTTTGGAGCACAGACTCCAGTCCAGCCCTTATGTTTTCTCAAGTGCAACTACATTTCTATTCTGTAGAAGCAATCTCCTTTTATGTTCTTCAATCACAATATTCTAATAAGAAGACACTTGTAAAATTCTCCTAACATGCAACTAGAAAAATTTACTTCCTTACATTCAGTATGTACAAATTTGCTCAAAACACAGGACCATATACTATCTACAGACTTTTTACTACTAAACAGCAAATCAAGTTAGAAAAAGGTTTCATTTCATTAAGTTCACTAAACTCATATAATTTTGTCAGTCTCCGTAAGACTGCCCCCATTATGTTTTATTTTAAATCCCACCAGGTGTGTCCACAAGAAACTTTACTGTGCAGTTGACTAATTAACTGTGTAGATGCTGAGACATTTGCTGCACATGTGCCCCTATAAGGGGACATGAAATGAAAAAAACTCCGCAGCAGGGTAGTACTTTTATTTACAAGTACTACTTTGCTGCAGAGTTTTTTCATGCACACAGGGTGCTTCAGTGCGGGGCTAGCCAGCGTGCAGCCCCCTGTGCTGAAGCACCCTCGTGCCCCAACCAGCCACCCTGTAGCACATGGAGCCCAATTGGAGCAGCAGGCTCCTGAATTTTTTGCTCCTGGACACGCTTTGAAACCGTGCGCCAAAAGCATAAAACTCCAGACCAAAAGCTCCAGGGCTTATTTGTTCACATTAATTGCATGTGTTGATGCTCCTACCATCAAGTAGCCTTGGAAAAGAACTGTAACTAGAAAAGCAATATTAACCAAACTGAAACCTAATTTTAAGAGAAAGCAAAGAAATGATTTTAAAACATTATGGTAATATTTTATACAAAGATAAATTTGTTAATATAAGACCTTAATATGTAATATTTTTACCTTTGTATTTCCACTTGTTGTTGGTTTGAAAGACTGCTTGAACCACAATTTTCAGGAACAGCTGCTCTCTCTTCAAAAGCTCTTAATTTCTCTTTCAACATTAAAATCTAAAACAAAAATAGATATTATATTTGGTTGAAGTATCAAACCTGCCTTGTGTGACCCATTTTTACCTTCTCATGTATGTGTCTTGAAAAGAAGACTTTTTTTTCATTCAAAAAGTTGAGGAAAGTCCCTTAACTAGAATATGGAAACATCTCTTTCTTAAAAACGAAGATAGAAAAAACCATACAGAAGAGTAGAATTTTCCTAGAACTTTCCTAATAGTTTCTATTATTATAAAAAAGCTTTTGCTTATAGATACTTCAGCGACATCAGAATGGTAACTATAACAATGAAGACTGACGTACCTCTTTCTTTTGTTCATCACAAATCTTAGCATACTGACTCATATGACTGTCCAAACTAACAATGTTGCTCTTCAACTGTTAAGGAAAAAAAAAATGTTAAATTTTAAATTAAATGTTTTGATCCCTCTTGCATAAGTGCACTAGACAGAATATCATATAATTACATTTGTACTATATTGCACTAAAAGATAAATATGTTGTTCTGTTCCTACTACTTTTAGTAAGTTGCCCAGAGCCATGAATCAAGTGAACTTTCCTTATTTTTATAACAAGGGAAAAATAAACTTAAGTACGTACTCTAAAGTCTTTTGATATTTAGAGTTTCTCAGGGAAACAAAGTGTCCTTTCCTATAGACTGCCTTTGGTTGAAGTGCACTGATACATTGGTCCCATATCAGATTGGCACCAACATAAGAAAAACTGACAGCATTGGCAATCGGCCTTTTTTGTCTGATGAGGCTGATAATGTCTCCAATAAATGCCCTGTGCATGCACGCAGGTGCAGCACAGCATGCAGGCGGCCAGGAGTGCAGCCCCGCAGCGTTGAGAGCAGCTGGGTCCGGCTGGTAAGTCTGTTGTGACCCCCTTCATCCCTTCCCCCGCAACAGACTTACCAGCTGGACACTGCTCTCCAAGCTGCCTGGCTGTATATCGGGCGATATGGCTCATTAAAAATTGGCCTTCAGTATCAGCCCAAAAAATCTCTATCGGTGCACCCCTAGTCTTTGGCATTTAATTTCTAATGTACACATCTTAAAAGTACATTAGAAATAAAATTTAGAAAATAAGAAAGAGACACGACTAGATCATTCAACTGAATTTTGATGCAAAAAGCTATATAAATTGTAAGTTATATCTTACCATAGTAAACAATTATATGTTTATTCTTTTAATACTATGCTGTCTAAATTTTGTAAACTCCAATATTTGCCAAGAAGATAAATTTACTTACAGAAGATTTGATATCCTTTGATCTGTTTGCATATTTAAGAGTGTTATACGTGTCATCATAGAACATAGAAGAAGGACTAACAGCAGCTATCATTATTGTCCTACAATTCCCTCCTAGAGAATCCTTCAATAAACGGGTAAGTTTGCTGTTCCGATAAGGAATATGCTGTTTCTTGCTCTGGAAAACAAACAGTGTTTTTTATAATGTATTTTGCAGATATATTTTAAACTGATGCATCTTAAAATGATGCCACAAACACAGTAATCATCCCACAAACACAGTAGTATATTTGTGACAGCTGAAATCTTTCATTTCCATTAGTAATTTCTTGAATTACACATATAGCAGAGTAGGCAGTCCATTTTAAAAGCATCCACCAGTAAATTTGTTTAGTACCTTCATTGTTCATTTTCATATTTGCTCTCTATACCTTAGCTAGCTCCCAATGGAATTTTTTTATGATCTGGACAATCCTGTACTAACAGAGAAAATTGGTTCTGCTAACTTTCAATTTTTACTATTGACTTTTTCTTTTTTTTATATTTTCATTGTGGCCATTAATTGTTCATGAGATGATGGACTTAGCTACTCAACATTAAGTTTCCCATTCAATTCAATAGCACTAAAGTTGAATACATGCAGTACTGGAAGGGAGACTTGGTTTAGGACAGCAGTAGAAAGAAAACTCTTGGAAAGGACAGAGAGAAGGGAACAAAACAAGATTTTCCATTTAGTTTGACAGTTCTCTTTTTATATGAGCAGACATATAGTCATGCATCAGCTAATGACATTGCCCATCTTTGCCTTAATGTTTTGCTAGGGAAGTAGAAGCATTTCCAGGTCTATATTTTACCTGGAATTTTTACCTAAGCTAATTGCACAAGATGCAAGTAAATTTCTTTTTGCCCCGTACCTTGTTCTAAGAGTGAAGGGGGTATGTTATTTTGCGCCAAGAACTTAAAAAGCTTCTGCTGCTTCATATTTCCCATCAGTCTAGGTTTATTTTTCCATTCTGCACAAGTTTCTTTATTGTGCAGTTTGCTGAGGCTTGACAGTTACTTTCCACAATTTAGTTGTACAGTTTTCTGGTGCTGTGGTGTTGCAATAAATTTTCTGGCAGATGAAATTTACAGGCACATTACACAGTTTGACAGAAATAGTGAGCTACAAGGATTTCCTGAAGAGAAACTCCCACATCGTTTGTGTGATGTTTCTCCTTTCTTTTGACTGGAATAGCATTATATCAATTATAATAGCCAGCCATACACAGGGTCCAAAAACCCCCATGGAATGTTTAATGAAACACTGCCTTGAATCAAGAAGATAAATTACCTAAGTCCCCCCACCCTTAAATAATTGAAAAAAATTTTTTAAGCTTAGCAACCTAATACCTCTCAGTTATCTTGTCATATTGTAAGATTTGTCCTCATAGATAGCACTTGAGACTATGATAATCAGGGTACATTCTTATGGTTCCAAATTAAAGGAATACACAAAAAAAGTGGGTGCAAGGCTCCTCTGTTTAATTGCTGAAAACTTTTCATGGGATAGTATGAAATGAAGCATTAAAGGGAACCATGGAGCCTCTACTAATATTTTCCAGCATCAAACTTCTTGAAAGAGTCAGAAAGGAGAAGCTAGCATCCAGAGTACAGCTACAGTTTCATAGCTGTTTGGGGCTGGAAGGGACCTTACAGATCATCGGGTCCAGTCCCCACCCCTGTACTTGGGGAGGAAAGACTGCTGGGATCTTTTCTAATTCAGCCAATTTGCCTCATTTGAGTTTCATCAAACTTCAAATTTTTTTAGCATTGTAATAAGGAGGAAACATTAACCATTAAAAATACAACAAAGTGGAAATCAGGAAACCTTGATTTTCTCTGGTTTGTTTTACTTGTGACTTAAGCTAGCTCACAACCTGTTTACACAGTTGGTACTTTGGTCAACTAGCCCTAACAAATGGATGATAAGCAATCATTTGATTAACATACTGATTATTGCAGATAATCCACTAATTTCATATAATGAAATCACTTTATATAGCAAAAGTGAAGGGATTTTTGTTTTTTTTCCCCCGAAGTGCGAGTACTTTCTTATTCTAGATGCTCAGTTCATCCTTCTGGCAGTCAAATGCTGAATGATCTACAATGAAATGCAAGGCAAAATGGCAAAAATCTAGGAGTCACATATGTGGAAAATCTACAGGTTTAAAAAAGAAATCCGTGATACCAATTTCCCTGCTACAAACAAACTTCCTAAAATCCACTTTCCTGCCTAACTTTTCTGGATTAGCACTTTGGAACGTACCTGCAGTACAGCAGCTAACATGAATGCTGAGCCTTGAGAAGACTGAGTAGCCTATGCTTTAAAACCTGGCCTTGTAGCCATCAGGAAAGCTCTTGTTTTGACTGCTCTGTCCCACTCTTGTGCCATTCCAGACATAACACTGAGAAATAATCTACAGAGTCTGTGTAAGGGATATTTCACATTTCAGAAGCAAGATGGAAGGGGTCATGCCAGCAGATGGAGAGTCATAGTTTGTTCCTACACTTCCCTCCGCGCAACCTCATGGTTAACGAATGTATTGGAGGCAGGGAGCAAGAAAAAGTTAGAATACACTGTTTTCAAATTACTGTCCTCCCCTGCCCAACTAGACTAGGGCCTGGAAATCTACCCTACCTTCTACTGGAAAAGAAAATCAGCTATAAGTCTGGTTTTCAGCTATTCATTTTTGTCTGTTCCTAGGCTGTCCATTAGGGGCTCTCTTTAAGACATCCCCTTAGACTCAAATAATCAGAAAGAAAGGGACAGTACCAATAGAGTGCC